GTGTAGAGTGAACGACTTACGCGTATAGGATGACGACGCTAAAGTAGTTGCTGTCGTTTCGCACGTAGGTGGGGTTGACGACGGTCAAGTAGGCATACACTGTGATGCCGCACAGAATAGCAATGACGAAGCTGAGAGGGCGCAGGGAGGAGTGGTATTGCAACAGTCGTTCGAACCTGTCAGCGAGACGATCTCGATCTGCGCTTATGTCGGTCTTGACGCACCTTCCGATACCGAACACGGTATTGACCAACGAGTCCTGAATGAGCGCATCCACGCCCTTCTGCTTGACGAGCCTCCATGTCTCCTTGGCAGCTCCTATGTATCCATTGCCGTACAGGGCAATGTTGACGTAGGCCAACCTGTTGAAAAATTCGATGAGCCAATCAATCGTGGCTATCAGGCAGGATGCAATGCAGCCCACCACGACCCCAATCATATCGCCATCTTGCGCTGCTTGTTGTGAGAGAATGTTGATCAGAGCTCGGATGATGTCGAGTATTGCGAGGACGAGACTGCGTGGAGTAGGCGTGAACATTGTCAGATATCGTCTATGCGCAATCATACACCGTTTGCAAGACTCGCCTTCCAAAGGCGAGACTGCCAAGAGACCATGTAGATGCCCTCTTGAAGCTTGAAAGGGTGGCATGAGGGACCTTCTTGGAATCATTGGAATAATACCACACACCGTACGTTCCAGCAGTGGTGGTGAAAGTGATTGCCTTGATGAGCTCCGAAGTCCAGTACCAGTCTGCAGGTCAGAGTGTGGACAGCGTCAGGCTCACACGCGCGTTTCCGAGCTTGCGCTTCTCTGTGGTGAGCGAGCTAATGTGCCGCCTCTTTCCTGGATTTCCCATTTGTCTCCTCTCTCGATTGCGCGCCAACGAGCCGCCTCTTTCCTGGACTCCCCATTTGTCTCCTCTCTCGATTGCGCGCCCTTTGTGCAATCACCACTCACTGAAGATGGTCAACACGACCAGCCCGGTGGTGGCGCCATTGCCACGACTGCCTCCCGTTCCTCCGCTACCGCTGAATCTGACATATATAGCCACCAGCGTCCAGGCTGTCCACACGCTGAATGCGGCTTGGACCAGTGTACCCAGCAGAGCGGCCACATAAGTGGCCTTGTAGGTGTTTGAAGCGCTAAGAACTGCGCGAAGAAGCAGCTTTGCCAGGGGACTACAGATTGCGAAGAGGATGCAGGGTGGTAGAATGAGTACAAAGACAGGCGCCTCAGTGTGGACTGGACAGAAACTCACATCTTCTTGCGCATGAACCAGTAGGCAATGACCGAA